GGGAAGCCCATGCTTATCCAACCCCCCCTAAACCTCTGCCCCATCCACCCCCCCCACTCCCTGTCCCCTGACTGCCCCCCCCCCCCCGGATCCCCCATCCCTTATCCAACCACCTGGCCCTCTTACCATGCCGCTCAGAGCAGCATGTCTGGCAGCCGTGCTGCTCAGCCGGAGCCAGACGCGCTGCCCTGCAGGAGCGCGCAGCCCTGCTGCCTGAGCGCTGCCCACGCAGTGGCATGGCTATGGGAGAGGGGACAGCGGGGGAGGGGACAGGGGCTAGTCTCCCCAGTCAGGAGATCAAGGGCCTGGCAGGACGGTCCCATGGGCCGGATGTGGCCTGCAGGCTGTAGTTTGCCCACCTCTGCTCTACACCATACCAAAAAAACACAAAAACAATAGAACGTTATATTTTGCTTACAGTTCAGTCATCTACAAGGATACCTAGAATTGTCTCTACAGATCCCAAAGAGATCTGAAGAAGTTGCTGCTGTGCATTAGCTTTTCCCTCACAATGCAAAGGGAGTTTGCTTTATAAAAGCTGACTACAGAATGCATTGAGGAAATACTTTTCAGAGGAATAAATAAATAAATAATAAATAAAAACGATAGTTTGGAAGTTACTATTCTGTAGCAAACTGACTAGAAAGTTTAGTTAAATATGTTCTATTTTATTTATATTGCCTTTCAATACCCATGACTGCATACAGGTTATGTATTCATCCACACATACCTGAATCCAAATGACATCACAAATGGAGAAATCTGTTTTTTAAGAGTACTGTTAAAAGAGGAACAGAGTCAAAAGTCAATGACTATCAGATGCAGTGGTAGATTTCAGTATTAAGAGTCACATTAAGATTTGTTATTGCAAACTTGCCTGCACCTTTGCTGAATTTTAAGAGCTACTTGAAGAATGGGTATGAATATCTGTAAATATATGATAGCATAGACTCCTAGACAAACATGTAATCTTTGCATCTGAAAAAGTGGGTTTTTTACCCACAAAAGCTTATGCTCAAATAAATCTGTCTTTAAGGTGCCACTTGACTCCTCGTTTTTATGTAATATCTTTCTGTCAACTGGTGACAAGTAAAGATGTCAAAGGAGGACACCTCTTGGACCATAAAACCTAAGTGTGCATTTCTGAGTGTGTGAACAATGTTACCCCCTTCTATTTTTCTTTAACGTTCTATATGCTTTCCTTTCAAGCTAGGTTTTGAAAGATGTATATACACGTTTGTGATTGAGATTCAGAGTTTCTACAGAATTTTTGAGAGGAGCCTTTAATTGCAGATTGTAAAGTTATTACAGATGGTAAATGGAGCTGAAGATGCTACTAAGGCCATCCCATGTACATGTTGAGATGAAGTGACAGCAACTGATATTTGAATCTAGCCAAACCTCAGCTTAAAAGAAGGGTCTTCTACCTTTAGTGCCACTGTACGAAGATAACATGGCATTCAGCTCAACTTGTTCATCTCCAAACAAATGTATCATTTGAATATATGAACAAGTAACTTTTAATCTTTGACTAAAGAGTGGAAAAATTAGTAAGCAAATTTTAGTATTCCTGCCCCCATAACTCATTAAACCTGTAAGGTCCTGATTCTCCATTGCATTACTCTGGTTTTATGAACTGAGTTACAAAGGAAGCATCAGACTTTCAATGCACACTTCTGCTACAAAAAGCCACTAAAGAGATCAAGGAGTTTAAATTAATTTGGGATCCATTTATGTCATAATTAAAATAGACTTTTCACTTTTCTGAATTTCCACATTGGACAAAACTACTAGCTGAATAACCGTTGCTTTGTTCTTTCCACTGTACATTCTCCAAGACTGAATGCAGGATCTGTCCAGATCAGAGTATTTTATGTTTGCAATGCACACTTCTGAAACTCGAGAGTCATTGATAATTTTGTAAGTCTCAGACATGGTTTGTCAGTAGGTATTTGTACTTTATGTATTTCACACCAATTAGTTTGCCAGAAGGAATACTCATGATATTTCTCTATAAGGTGGACTCTGAGCCAAACAAGTTACATGCTTTATAAAAACTAATAAGATTGACAGCAAATACATAGCAAAGGCTTCTGAATCTATGACATTAGGTTTTCTTACTAAGCAACGACCTACTGAGCTCCTTTTCAACATTTCAGCAAGCCATGCTTCCTTCTCAATTTTGGCTTGGGAAACTGCACTAGATAGTTTATTTTGCACAGCAAAGATTAGAACAACTAAACTTACCGGGAGCAAGTGTCTGGTTCATTATCCTCAACGCAGCCATCATCAATCTTTATGCTGCCCTCCCCCGTCTTTTGAAAGCTGCCAAAAAATAACAAATCAGACTAGGTCTTAGGATGGCTGCCCCCTTGAAATAAAGCATGTTCAGCTCCCGTGTGCTAGAAGGGGTGCTCCCTCTCAGGTCGAGTAAGAAGCTAGGACACCACTAGGGGCCAGAGCAGGGGTTCTCAAACTGGGGGTCATGACCCCTCAGGGGGTTGTGAGGTTATTACATTGGGGGGTGTCATGAGCTGTCAGCCTCCACCCCAAAGCCCTGCTTTGCCTCTAGCATTTATAAAAGTGTTATTTAGGAGGGGGTCACACTCAGGCTTGCTGTGTGAAAGGGTTCACCAATACAAAAGTTTGAGAACCACTGAGTTCTTCCATCTGAAAGACTTTCAGAGTAGAAAAATAGTGAAGGACCCTATAAAACATGCATTAAGAGACTAAAATATTCTCCCTCCTCCCCACTGAATACTTCAATTTTATTTTAATCTAGAAGTTTGATGATACAGAGTTTCAGGGAAGGTCACTAGAGACTGAGATAGCCATCTAGCAGCACTATCACTTACCAGTATTTCAAGTGAGCTGCTTTAAATCTATTCCCTAGCATAGAAGTATCATAGGGAACAAGTACTGAAGGGCTGTGCAGACCAAGCTAACTTCTGAACCCTAGAAGTGAGGTCTACTGCCTCTGTTTTGATCTCTGAGGAATCTTGCACTGTTACTATTGTGTAATTTGACCCCACATCTCTCTAATATTAGGTCAACTACTGTAAAAGCAGCTTCAACTAAAGAGTGCTGGAAACTACTCCATCCAAACTCATTCAGCTGTGCCTACATATTAATAGGACAAGCCTACATACCTCTACAAGTCTCATGTAATGACTCAACAGCATAGCAGACTCCGGGCTTGTCTGCATGAGAAACTTACTGGTTTAACATAAACCAATTTAAGAACTGATGTTAAACCAGTTTGACTCTCTCAGGTAGGCAAAGCCTTAACCCTGAATTTCCAAGTTTGTCAGTTTAAGGCTTGCCCTTATGTACCATTTATGTTGTTTTTTATTTTAAGCGCATGAGATAGGTTAGATCCTCAGCCCAGAAGTATTACAGAAGCAATCTACTCAACCTGCAGAGGTACATGTTAATATGTTCATTGGAAAGTACCCTCAGAGGAGCAGTGCTAAGAAGTTTTCCCTAGGTCAGCAGAAAATGGTGACCATGATGCTATGTCTCAAGAGTGTATGGAGTTACTCAAGGATGACAGAATTCTAGGGTACAATCCATGAACATAATTAGGTACTTAAGTCCAGTTGTCAGGTGCCACCGCAATCCCCAGGCACCTAAATTCAATTAGTGCCTAAATTTTTTTACAGTAGACGTTCACTGGGCATCTAGGTTCCTGCTGCCTGGTGGCTGCTCTGCTGCCTACTGCTAGGCACCTGGATGCCTCTCTCCTACATAAGCCCAAGGGCAAATAATGAACTAGGGAAAATAGGTGTTTGACTGTTTGCATGCAGGGCCCAATTCAGTAGTTGTGCTCAGAGGCTGCCTGCTGGATCAGTCCCCTCAGGAAAGTTCACACAAAACAGCTGGGGATGAGAAAAGAGAGAAGCCTAGGAGATAAGGTACTCATGTGGGAGGTGGGAGTCCCTCAGTTCAAGCCCTCTCCCCCCACACACACCTGAAGGGGAAAGGGATTGGAACAGGATCTGCCACCTCACAGGTGAGTGCCCTAACCACTAGGTCAGTAATTCTAGCTTGTGGCCCAATTAATATTTAAAGTAGAACAACTTGAACAGAAGAGATTGAGACCCACAACAAAATAGTTTATAGCTTACTGAGTAGGGCACTCACCTGAGAGGTGGCCGATCCCTGTTCCAATCCCTTCTCCCCTTAAGGGGCTGGGACTTGAACTATGGTCTTCCAGATCCTGGTGAGTACCCTACCCCCTCGACTACAGGTTAAAAGGGAGGGCTGATTCCTCCTTCACTTCCTGCCCTGTCCCAGCCCAGCTGTTTTACATGAATTTACCCAAGGTGCTTGATCCACCATGGTCTCTGAACACACCTGCCTGCACACAACTTAGGCATCTGAACACCTACATCTCTCTGCTTGTGATTCACAAACCCAGGGTAAATCTGAGTTGCAGGGAGGCCCCTATCTCTGAGAGGGGCAGGATTTAGGACACAACCTGTCACAATATTGCCAACAAGAGATCAAAAGTCATGAGTCAGACCCTCCCAAAATCATGAGATTTTAAAAAAGATTAGATGGTGTTTTTTAGGTCAGTCTCTTGATTTTTTAACTCCCTCAGCCCATCCCCAGGGTGTGTGCATGTGACAATTAGTGGTACCCACTCTCCAACATGTACTGGATAAGGTGATTTTGTCCCCTACTGCAGGAGCTCTCACCCCCACATATGCCCCTCCCCTGCCCACCAGTTAATCTTGTCTCCCAGTCCATCAGTTCTGTCCTCACCCAACCCTCCCCCCCCCAATTCAGCCCCTGCCAGTGCAGTCCCCCAGCCCCATTTTCCCCCCACTGCACTCAATGTACCCTCCCAGCACTCACCTCATCTGCTCAGAATCCACCATCAGTACAGCCCCTCCACCCCATCACCCCCCCTCCTCCCCCAATAGCCTCCAGGCCAGAGTATAGCCCTCCCAGCCTCACCTCTGCTGCTCTTAGGGCTCTAGCTGTCAGCCTGCCACCTGGGTGAACAGCAATTACTAAGTCAAATTAAGCCTCACTCATGATCTTGGGATACAGCTCTCAAACGCCATGGGGGGGGGGGGGGGGGAAGAGGAGAGAATTCTGACAGTGAGGCTTAGTTTTACTTAGTAACTGTGTCTCTCCTGATAAATTTGAAGGAGTTGACCTGCCTCATCTCCTACTGGATAGCTTACGTGGCTCCCCATCCAGCATGCTGGCTTTGTGGATTGCATTCTCAGGTGCCTCTCCCTCTCCAGTGCTGTGTACAAGGGCTTAGGTGGCTAACTCAAGCTTTGTGGATCCCAATGTTGTTCCTGTGATTTTCTAGGTGCCTAAAACTTAGGTATTGCAATACTGAGTGTCATGACACCTAAGTCCCTTTGGGGATCCCACCCCAAGAGAATCACTGTGGGGAGAACAGTGAAGAAAGATATTTCCACTGGCAAAGAAAAAAGCATCTGCAATACTGAAGGAACCACCTGCGTATACAAGATACAAATAATGCTGACCCAGTACAATGGTAATGGATACATTGTAGTAAAGTTTCCAAACGTCCATCAGCTATGAAACCATTTAAAGTTAGCAGAATAAGTTCTTGTATATCAGTACATGTCAGGGACTAAGCCTTGTAAATCATAACTCCATTGACTACAAAAGAATTTGGGGAGTTAGTTTTTGGTAAATTCAACTTATTTTGTCCTGGTATGTTTCCTTCACAGCCCTCCCCTAAGAAAAGGATATGCTGCCCTGTAATGCCAGCCCACACTTTGGTCTACTCCCCTGCTAATCCCAGAGTTGTTCCAAAAGGCCCCAAACAGGAGTTAGGCAGAGTGGAAAGCAGAGGGCTCATTCTTATAAATGAGCCTGAATCTTAACCAACACTGTCCCGCCCAGTTTCACTGGTCCCCACAAGTGGAGGGGGAAGGAGACTCGCTACATGAATAGATCTGTTTTATGTTTATTTATACTATGTCTCTGCAATTTCTTACCTGAAATGCAGGTAAGAGACACTATTTGGTACAATTTTATTTCTTTTTAAAAGGATTCACACTAGAGTGCCCTCCCAGGCCCCACAAGAGGGGCAGCTACTAGGACTAGAGTTGGTGCAGTAATTTGCTGCAAAGACGACATATCTACCCTTTTATTTAATTGCTGTCCCAATGCCTAAGGAACAAGCTGCTCTGAAAAGCTTAGAATTGCGTGTTTAGAAGAAATGTGCTAAAATTTCAGCCAGATATTTTGTGTTTAGACAATAGTAAGTGTCTACAAGTAATTTTGGAACTAAAGCATATTAAAGTGATGGCCAGACCTGGTAAGAAAATAAAGGTTATCCATTTTTTTGTTGAAATTTCATAAACATTTTCAGCCAGTTCCAGAAAGGTGACTACAACATCCAAGATGTTTTCTAATGTATCACTATTATAACACTTTACATAGAAATTAGTGTTATGGAGAAATTAAGTGATAACTTACCTATACATTGTTGCAGCAGCTCACGTTACTTAAACACTTGATTATTAATGCCTCACAAAAAAGGGAAGCCACCATTAATCTTCAGAAGTAGCATTACAAACACTCCAAAAAGTGAATTCAAATAAATATATTTTGCTTGCTTGCAAATGCATATTCTCCAGTAATCCAGGAACCAGTTTAGAACAGTTTTAGTACAGAGTACATGCTCAGAAAGCACTGGCACTGCCTGGATACAAAACTATTCCAGCTAGTCAAAATGCCTAGTTCTTATTACAGGAAGGAACTGTGGAGATTCATGAGCAATTACATCAGAAAAATTGTAGCACAGAAACATTTCTGTGCAGAACAGGATACCAAACAGGAAAGGAAAAGACAGGAACAGCACTAATAAAAAGTGCTACTCTAGCACTAGTTTGAACCTCCCTAAAGATCTCTTCTGAATGGTTCATTTTATTACTTTCTTCTGAACAGAAACTTTAATAAGACAGACACACAGAGACAGAATAGCCTTAACATTTAATGCCCAAGTCAGGAAATTCAAAGGTTAAGAAATGCATAACTTTATGCAGAACCCAGTTCTGCCATTGTAAAGTAGTCATGCAATTTTTAATCTCTGCTTAACTGTACATTTCTGTATAGTTAGCTGGCATATCAGGGTGCTTTGCAGCACATTGCCTGGAATATATTTGCCTCAACACATTGTGTGTTTATACACTACAAAATATAAACAGGATTGGCTTTTTTTAATATATAAAGTGTTTGCTATTAATTCATTGGCATTAGTGCACTACCTTAAACTGACTTAACCCTTTCTGGCTAGGCCCAGATCCAAGTAACTGTTTTGTTTAAGT